TTTATAATATATATATATATATATATATATATATATATATATATATATATATATATATATATATATATATCAGTTTGCTTGGCTTTTACTTTTCGTGTCGCAGTATTATCATAACTTCTCAAAAGACAAATTTCTTGTAGACAATCGCCTCTTCATAATTCTATACAAGGAGCTGTACTACCGCCAAGTTTATGCTCGCAATCAACGTGGTCCATCTCTTTCACATCGATTTGAGTCTTTTATGAATTATCAGGTATGGATTGCTGAGTTTTAAAGCAGTATTTCCTTTTAATTCATCTTCATATTTATCAGGACCTTTTCTCGGAGATTCTTTCAAGTAAAGAGCCGGTCTCTTTGTCTCTTCCAAATGTTTGGTTATGGGATATCATAGATGAGTTTGTATATCAGGTTTGTGCTTTGAATTAATCTTCCGTGCGATGCGGTTCTATACTGTTTTCTTATAGTTCCAAGCATTTTGCCTTTACAAGGCAAACCCAGGGAAAAGAAGTGTTGATGAAGTTGATGAGTTGATAAGTATTGAGGAGGCTCAAAACGTACTTTCTTTTTTTACAACTTATTCTTGTTTTTTTAGTAGCAGTTGTTTCAGGCTTGGAACATCTATCCTGTCTTGAACATTTTATATTCTTTGCTATCGAAGTCGCAGATAAATGAGCAATTAGCTGCTATTAAAGCCCGAAGTAGGCATCGCTGTCAATAGATCCAATAGTGCAACTCTTTATTAATCAATTGCAGAAAACCCTGATAATGTGGCGGATGAGTTCGGCCAATCTCCTCTTTACTTCAAGTTAGGCTACTTTTCCTTGATTGGACTGTTGAGAACTCACGTCCTTCTCGGAGACTACCATCAAGCTCTGAAGACTGTCGCTAATGTAGAACTTGATGCTAAGGTTTGCCTGTCCATTCAGTTTATAACTACTACTCAAAGAAGTTCGCTTACTTACTAACGGATATATTTTAATTGGTAATATTGCTAACGAACGGGAATGGCCCAGAAAAGGGAAGGTGAGGAAAGAAGCATTTAAGAAGAGTTAGGCGAAAAGGTATAGATTTGGTATTTGGGAAGAGCAGACGTGCTGTTTTGAGATACTGAGGTACTATGTTTGTCGGAAGAGCAGAAAACGTGCTATTTTGAGATACTGAGGTACTATGTCTCTAAACTAACAGATTAAGCAAAATCACGAGTAGAAAAACAACTCATTTCTACTATTTTTTGATCCCCACATATCTTGAGAGTGCTATTCGTAATTTCCACGAGCTATCAAGTGCAATCCTAGATTTTTTGAGGTTCTGTCTGAATGTGAAGCTGCTATCCGTTATTTTCAAATATGAACTCACCATTACGATGAACCGTGGTTTTTAGTAATGGTCTTTTTTCTCTAGGGTCTCTACAACACTGTTCCGTCATGCCTGGTCACTTTACACTACTTCGTTGGCTTCTCTCATATGATGATGAGGAATTATGGGGAAGCGACTAAGATGTTTGTGAATTGTTTAATGTTTATTCAAAGGACGAAAGCCATTCAAGTCCAACAGCAGAAGCAGAAGAACTTCCAATACGACGTGGTAGTTGCGCTATGTATTCTCTGTTAGCCATGACATACGTTTTGTTGATTCTTGATGTTTATAGCTTGCAAATGCTTCTCCTAGATTGGTAAAACCTATGAGCAGCTCTTCCACTTGTTGGCCATCTGTCTGGCAATTCAACCACAGCGAATCGATGAAGCGATAGCATCTCAGCTAGCTGAGCGTTGTGGGGATCGCATGTCGCGAATGGCGAATGGAGATCTGGATGAGTTTCGTCTTGCCTTCCAAACAGGGTATATTTTTTTGATCGAACTGTTAACATTAAATATGGTGGCTACGGAGTTTTCCAAAACGCGCCGCAACCTTAAGCGGCGTGCCCGACTACTCATTTTTTTATCGGCGCCTTAGCGGTTTTTAGGCTTTGTGTTGCAACAAGCAAACGAGTCATTAGAATCTTTTGGGCGACCTGTGACATGTTGACGCATCTACAGAAATTCTGCGGCATACATTATTAATCATGTGTGCAATAGTAACGGTATTCCTGTTATGGGCCACCACTTAAACGATACGTCAAATTTGATTTTCGTATCAATTTGATCTCATATATACTTATTGGACTGTCAGATAAGTTTGTGCTATGCTGCGATAAGTTTTTCTCAAGCTTAAAAAATTC